TTTAATCTTCATGGTAATCTTACCAGGAGGGTAATCATTTGAAGCAAGAACAGGTTTAAGGTTTCTTAAAAGACACAGATGTAAGTCTTTAATACAGATTGGGAAGAGGATTAGTTTTTCTGTCTCAGGTTCTTCTTCAGGATAAAGGATAAAGATTTTGAGATAGTTTAAAAGTTTTTATATAAATGCTCATTCATTGAGTTCAAATACTTTTAAAATGTCCTGGCAGTTGAAAGTTAAATAAGAAGCGGCCGGGCACGGTGGCTCAAGCCTGTAATCCCAGCACTTTGGGAGGCCGAGACGGGCGGATCACGATCAGTGATGATCGGGGACATCCGGCTAACCCGGTGAACCCGGTTCTACGTGACAAAGTACAGAAAACGCTAGCGGGGCGAGGTGGGCGGGGCGCCTGTGTCCGCGCTCTCGGGGAGTGAGGCAGGAGAAATGCGTAACCCGGTGAGGCGAGCTGTTGAGTAGCTGAGATCCGGCACTTACTGCAGCCCGGGCGACCGGCCGAGCTCGTTCTCAAAAAAAAAAAACAGAGAAGTTAAATAGGAGAAAAGTATCTTGCTCGCTAGAATTTTTTGTTTTTTTTGTTGAGCGGGTCCGCGTCTGTCCGCCGGGTGGAGTGCAGTGCCGGAGTCTCAGCTCGCTGCGAGCTGCGCCTCACCGGAGTTTACGCGCCTCCTGCCCCTCAGCTACGAGGTGCTGGGCTACAGGCCGCCGCCCTCGCGCCGGCTAGCTACCCTGTTTTGTAATTTTTTACGGTAGAGACGGAGACACGTTCACGGGTTAGCCGGATGTTCGATCCTCCTGACCTCGTGATCCTGCCGTCTCGGCCCTCCCAACAGTGCTGGGAGTTAGCAGGTTGAAGCCAGTGGCCCAGCCTGCCTAGAATTTTGTAAGGTTTACTTCTTTAGGTGGATTTTATTGTTTCTGACAGTGTGCGCGCTTTTCTTTGATTACGCACCAGTGTTTCGCTGGGGTGTGGTGGTCACCACCCTGTGAATGTCCAGCACCGTTGCGAGTGGCTAAGGCAGCGGTCATTGAGGTCAGGAGTTTCACAGACAGCCTGATGTACGGTGCAACCGGCTCTTCTAAAAATACAAAAAATTAGGTGGGTATGGTGGCACATGCCTGGTATCGCAGGGTTCTTGGGGGTGTTAGGCGAGGATCACTCAACCCAGGAAGGTGGAGGTTGGCAGGTGAGCCAAGATCCACCTGCCCTCCAGTGGAACGGAGTGAGACGTGTCTCAAGAAGAACAAAACAAAAGACCAAAAACACGGAAAAACAAGTGTTAAAAATGCAGGTACAAGCCAGTGGATTCATGAATTATGTGTAGTGCATTTGAAAAAAAAAAGACAAGAGAACATAGCATAGTAAATGGTCTGCAGGCCTGGAGGGCTCACCTTGTATCGGCAGGCCAGCGTGTTGGGGAGGCTGAGGAGGCAAGACTCACCTGGGTCAAGGAGTTCAGACCAGCGCTGGCAACATCGGGTGAAAACCCCCATCTTACTGAAAATACAGAAATTAGCAGGTGTGGTGGCACATGCTGTAGTTCCAGGCTCTCGGGAGATGGAGGGGATAGTGAAACGGGAGGCAGGGTTGCCAGTGAGCAAAGATTGGCCACTGCACTGCTGCTTGGGCCGGAGAAGACTTGTCTGTCAAAAGAAAAGACAAAAGTTGCCAGGTACAGTGACCCACACTTGTAATCCTAGCACTTTAGGAGGCGGAGGTGGGTGGGAGGATTGCTTGAGCCTAGGAGTTCAAGACCAGCCTAGGCAACATGGCATAACCTCGTCTCCACAAAAATAAAAAAAATTAGCCAAGTGTTGTGGCACATACCTGTAGTCCCAGCTATTCCAGAGGCTGAGGTTGGAGGATCACCTGAGCCTGGGAAGTCGAGGCTGCAGTGAGCCATGATCGCACCTGGGCAACAGAGTGAGACTCTGTCTTTAAAAAAAAAAAAAAAGTTTTGTGTTGCATATATAGATTTATATTATGTAAATATATTCTATATATACACACACATGACTTGAGAGATAGGATGTATTTCTTTTTATAGGTTTTTTTTTTTTTTGAGATGGAGTCTCGCTCTGTCACCCAGGCTGGAATGCAGTGGTACGATCTCAGCTCACTGCAAGCTCCACCTCCTAGGTTCACACCATTCTTCTGCCTCAGCCTCCCGAGTAGCTGGGACTACAGGAGTGCGCCACCACGCCCGGCTAATTTTTTGTATTTTTAGTAGAGATGGGATTTTACTGTGTTAGCCAGGATGGCCTTGATCTCCTGACCTCGTGATCTGCCTGCCATGGCCTCCCAAAGTGCTGGGATTACAGGCGTGAGCCACAGCGCCGGGCCTAGGTTGTGTTTTAAAAAGGTTAGAAAAACAGTTTTGTGAATAAATGATGCCTTGCACTTTATGGGGCTCAAAAGTGTTTGCTGAATTGGAAAAAGAGCTGTCTTTGTGTCATTACAGCCCCGTAGCAATAAGGAACTATGCATGCTGAGCCAACTCCTGTAAAATGTCTTGTCAAGTGAGCACCTATTTGTGCTGCAGAGACTTTTCCCTTCTGTAGTTGGTAATAATAATGAAAGTTTGCTTTTACAAAGTAATTATTACAAAGTTGCATTATTATTGCTAAACAGTGAAAGATGCGGATTTGGAGGAGGGAACAATGGCAGGAAACATTTAGGAATGTGAATGTGTAACAGGGCTATGTTACAAGGGATTTGTAGTTCTGACAATTGCGAGTTCTCTCTGGGAGAGATCCCAGTGGTCCATGACATGTAGTAATTTGAAATTTGATGAGGCGCAAATTCAAGTACATCCTAGGAGGCTTGTAGGGAGGGAGACAGTCACTGAGCTAGTGAGCAAGCCACGCCCCCTGCTCCATGTCTGCGTTTAAACATGGCATGCTGTTTTTTTCTGTTCTTTGTCTTCACAGCGTAATTCCCTTCAGGTAATAAAAACTCTTTTCATCTGAAGAATGATGATGAAGTGAAAGGTGAAGCTTGAGTGAAACGTGTGATGCAAACATAAGCCAAAGAAGATAGGCTCTTGATAAAGGTGTGATTTCCCCAGAAAGCCAGAGCCACTACAGGACTTCCTGTATCATACAAGTGGGCGATTCCTGGTGCTCTCTTGTTGGTAGCTCTACAGGCTGTCAGAGATCAAGGCAGTATTCTTTGCTGCCTTTTTTAAGAACCTGTAGATGTGAGCATTGATTTGAGGCAATATATAATGATTTATTATATAGCCTGTGGAAGATAGAAACTTAGTGTGTAGAAATCGTTTGTTTAAAAAAAGGAGAAACTATATTATATGTGTGGGGATTTGTTTGTTTGCTTACTAATTCCAGTGCTTTTTGTTTTTGTTTTCTATTTATTTCTTTTGAGACCAAGTTATGAGACTGGCTAATTTTTGTATTTCTAGTAGAGACAGGATTTCACCCAGGCTGGTCTTGAACTTCTGGGCTCAAGCTATCCACCCACCTCGGCTTCCCAAAGTGCTGGGAATACAGATGTGAGCCACTATGCCCAGCCTTCCAGTACTTTTTCATCAATTGCTTTAGGAGTGACTTTGTAAAGTTCTCTGAAATTATCTGAGTAGTCAAGCTCTTTAGGATTGTGTCATCCGTCTCAAGTTTGCCCAGAGCTGGGGATTTTCCACAAATCTTTGGGGTAAGAGAGAAAGATGAAGACTTGGAGGCAGGACAAGGATCGTCAGTGGGCAAATCAGGATCAGATTCTGCTTCTACCTTCATACGTACATGCTGACTCTTTTGAAAGAACTACAATAAAGTCACCTGCGGATTGACCCACATGCCTTAGCTCTGAAACATGCAAACTGGCTAACTGGGGAATCCACTCCCATGCCAATCTCTAATATTTGTTCACCTAAACGTAGCATCCTGTGATGTGCTTGTGAGTTATAATTGGAATTGTAGAAAGACAGAGAAAGAGGCCTGGCACGGCGGGTCACGCCTGTAATCTCAGCACTTTGGGAGGCCGAGGCAGGTGGATTACTTGAGGTTAGCAGTTCGAGATCAGCCTGGCCAACATGGTGAAACCCCATCTCTACTAAAAATACAAAAATTAGCTGGGTGTGATGGTGAGCACCAGTAATCCGAGCTACTCGAGAGTCTGAAACAGAAGAATTGATTGAACCTGGGAGGCAGAGGTTGTAGTGAGCCAAGATTATGCCACTGCACTCTAGCCTTGGCAACAGAGTTAAGACTCGGTCTCAAAGAAAGAAAGGGAAATAAAAGAGGAGAGAGGAATGTCTATTTAATTAATTGTTTAAAAAGAGGAAAAACTATATTGTATGTATGTGGATTTGTCTGTTTGCTTATTAATTCCAATACTTTTTGTTTTTGTTTTCTATTTATGTCATTTAATTATTAATTAATGTCATGTAATTTTAAATGAGAAATTATGCCTCATGTAAAAGTTTTTTTTGTAAAAGGTTAGGCTGAGATTCATTTATCACCTCACCATGGATGCCACCATGAGTCTAACTCTGCTCTCTCAGCTCTGCAAACAGATGTGTTTTGCAGGGGGGCATCTCATCTGAACATCAGTAGGTCCAGGAAACACTTGTCCATGCCACCCTGACTGACTTTAATCAATTCAGTGGGTATTTGTTGAGTATCTGCTACCTGCAACACCAGCCAGGTGGCTTGATACGGTAAAGATTCAAGAAACGTTAGCTTAACATATTGATGCAAGCTACTGTAGTTGGCCCTGGGGTGAGGGGAAGTATAAAAATGAAAAAAGTGTAGTCCTCATCTCCTTGAGGCTTGCAATCCAGGGACAGACATGAGGACAAGTAATTATTAGTCAAGCTGACCATACTATGTGTTATCAAGGAGGAAAGACGAGGGTAGGAAAAGTGGGAAGGCAGGGGAGGTGTCCATGGGAAAGGAACACCAGGCAACAGGAAGAATACAGGCAGGGCTGGGTGGACACCAATTGAGAAACTTGGGAGTAACGCCACATGGCAACAGTGGATAGTGGTCTGGAGCAGCATGGAGGAGGCATGGTGGAAGATGGGGCTGGAGATGCCAGTCATTCTGAGGGTGCTTGGGGACCTGTCAGATGGTTTACAGCAGGGAGTACGGCATCAGATGGTTTACAGCAGGGAGTACGGCATCAGATTTGTGTTTTAGAAGAAGGTGAAGAGAATGGATTGGAGTAGGGGAAGTGCCTTTGGGAGGCTATTGTAATGGTTCATTGGATAAATGACAGGGCTTGACTGAGAGCAGTGGAAATGAAATGGAGGTTACTCAAGAATGATTCGTCCTCGAAAGCCAATCTGTGAATTTATAATGGGTATGAACTTACCAACCACTGGAATGATTAGGTCAGCTGGCCGGAACACTACTTTTAAAAGTGAAGTTCATTAATAATCAAAAGATTACTGGCTGAAAGTGAAGTTAAGACAAAAGGAGTTGGATGATCTGAGAGGACCTTTTACCCCATCGATAGCAGTTTTTACATAGCAGTAATACTAAAGCTTAGTCTCTGGTGGGTGGTTGTTCTCTCTGGAGAGACACTTGGCCTGCCACAAGAGGAGGAGCTGCTCCTCTGGCCAGCACTGGACAGAAGCTGGCCAGCATATTCCAGGAACTTTGGTTTGCAAGAAAGTGAGCTTGCTCAGATGAGCAGGTAGAATGAGGAATGAATTGTAAGGAAAGGAAATAGTCCAACTCCAAAGCTAGAAAGCCAGCCAGGCCTCAGGGGCTCAGATATCATCAGGCACTTTCTCCTCCCTTCTCCCCTCCATGCCCAGTGAGAATCTGCTTTCTTCCCCTCTACCCCAATCACTGGTCCTTCTGAGTCCATGCACCTACATGGGCCCCATTACCACTTCCCCAAAATGCTGGCCTCGCCCCCTAGGCTTTCTAGCCTTGTAGTCTGCTCCTCACAGCTGACCCAGTCTCTGTGTCCCAAGTGCTAATACCCAGAAGAGAGGATCCCAATGGTCCAGGTTGGGTCAGATGTCTTTCTCTAAGCAAGCTAAAGATGTGATGTGACAGATGCTTTGAGAAAAAGCAAAATGGTAGTAAAGAATGGGTAACTCTAATATATTTTAAATGTTTCTAGACTTCATGTTAACCCAGTGTATTGGTTGTCTATTGCTATATAACAAGACACCCTAAAATGTAGCAGCTTAAAACAACAAGCATTTCTTACATCACAGTTCTGTGGGTCAGGAATGCAAGAATAGCTTAGTTGAGTGTTTTTGTCTCAGGGTCTCTCATGAGTTTATAGTTAAGCTGGCCCCTGGGCCTGCAGTCCTGGGAAGGGTAGGCTGGGGATGATGTTTCCAAGCTTACCGGTGAGGCTGTCTGGCGGTCAGCAGGATGCCTAAGCTATTAGCTGTTGGCTGGAGACCTCAGTTCCTCACCACGTGGGTCTCTCCATAGGCTGTCTGAGTGTCCTCATGACATGGCAGCCAGCTTCTCCCACAGTGAGTGATCCAGAGAGCACCCAGGATGGGAAGCTTCTGCCCTATTGGTCACCCAGACCAACCCTGGTACACAGTGGGAGGGAGGATGCACAAGGGTGAGAATACCAGGAGGTGAGGCTTGCTGGAGGCCATCTTGGAAGTTAGTTACCATATCTGGTCAAGAAACATTTCTTTAGTGCCTACTGTGTGCCAAGTGCTGGGACTGGGAGCTACATGACACCAAGTCCCTGCCCTAGAGCATCAAGCTCACTGTCTGGGCTGGAGAAGCCTCACACAAACACAATACCATGTGTGCTCGGAGCCCTCACCTCTGCCCACCGACCTTCCATACTGCTACCACATTTATCCTCATGGAATTCAAATCTGTTCATAGCATTCTCTTATTGTGTCCTCTTTGTCTAGAATTTTTTTTGTTCAAAAATTTAAAGATCACCACCACAGTAAGAAATACACTTATATTACAAACCAGTGCATACATACACAGGCACATTTATAACTGAAACAGATTTCCCAAGTTTACACCCTTACTGCTTGTATGTATTCTGGTATCTTCTGATCTAGGCTGTTTCATTTTTTATAAAAGCCGGTCACAGTCTCATGAATTGCACAGCCTACTGCATTGTGACCTACAGTGTGGAAAGCAGCAGCCTATGGATCATCCACACTCCCTTCCATGATCTGCAAAGCCCCTCATCATCTGCCCATCTCCCTCATTTATATTTAAGGACTTCGCCACATACACTCTCTTAGGTTCCTCTACAAGGAGCTCTCTTCTGCCTTTTCCCATGTGATTTGGAGAACTCTTACTCATCCTTTAAAACCCAGCTTTAAAGTATCTCCTGTTCTTCCCTCTCTTAGTTTTTTGTTTTGTTTTGTTTTTTAAGACAGGGTATTGCTCTGACATCCACCCAGGCTGGAGTGCAGAAGTGTGATCTTGGCTCACTGCAACCTTCGCCTCCCGGGTTCAAGCGATTCTCACGCCTCAGCCTCCTGAGTAGCTGGGATTACAGGCGTGTGCCACCACGCCTGGCTAATTTTTGTATTATTATTTTATTATTGTATCATTATTATTTTTGAGATGGAGTCTTGCTCATATTGCCCAGACTGGAGTGCAATGGCGCAGTCTCAGCTCACTGCAACCTCTGCCTCCCAAGTTCAAGCGATTCTCCTCCCTCAGCCTCCAGAGTAGCTGGGATTACAGGCACCCCTGTAATTTTTTTGTATGTTTGGTAGAGACGGGGGTTTCACCATGTTGGCCAGGCTGGTCTCGAACTCCTGACCTCAGGTGATCCACCCGCCTCAGTCTCCCAAAGTGTTGGGGTTACAGGCATGAGCCACCCCACCCAGTCAGTGTTTTTGTTTTTTTCAGTCTGGATTGCAGTGGCGCGATCTCCACTCACTGCAGCCTCCACCTCCCAAGTTCAAGTGATTCTCTTGCCACAGCCTTGCCGAGTAGCTAGGATTACAGGGGCCCGCCCCCACGCCCGGGTAATTTTTGTATTTTTAGTAGAGACGGCGTTTCACCACGTTGGCCACGAACTCCTGACCTCAAGTGATCCCGCCTGCCTCAGCCTTACAAAGTGCTGGGATTACAGGCGTGAGCCACCGCGCCCGGCCCTCCCCTCTCTTTCAACAGGATTGCCTCCTCCTCTGTCCTCCGACTCCCCAGAGCTTTTCACTGACACCTGGGGACTGCTGGGTCCCTCCTCTCCTAGCCTGCCCAGGGCCACCCCAAGCCTGTAATAGATTTTCATTTATCTCTGTAACAACGTTTACAAGGACATGGAGCAAATTAGCATCACACAAATGACGATGCTGCAAATGAGCGGTGTACAGGGTTGGCGGGTGTTGCAGGCAGGTTTCCTGTCGTTAGCGCCACGTGCTGCAGAAAGAGGACCCCTCCCCCTGCGGGCCGCCGCTGCGCCCGCGCGTCCGTCACAGGTACAATTCGCACCGGAACTTGCGGCCTGCTTCATTACATGGTGCATTTTAGCTGCTCTGGTTTCTTTTTGTTTTTTCTACTTTTCTCATTTGTTTGTGTTGTTAGGGACAGCCTAGTGAGAAATTGAGCTTCAGGCTGCATAGAAAGGCCTCTATATCTGCATCCCCACCCCTGCGGGGGTGGCGGGGGTGGCGGGGTGGCGGGGGAGGGTTCCTGTCTGAAGTGGTAGGGAAGGAGGGTTTTGAGGTTTTTGGCTATTTGCTTGCAAGTATCTAAGTAAGAGATTTGTTTGCCCACATTTGCACTCTCTTGGCTAGCAACCTGACAAAATATTTTCTGATGGTTTTGCGTGTATGTGGTTTTTATTTTTGAGGGAGAGAATAATTTACACCTTGGTTAAATTGTACTGAGATACAATGGCTGTTTTTAAAAATTGCTGTTAACTGAAGGGTTGAAGCTAATATAATTCCCAGGCTCAGCCTCTTGGGAGGCTGTCTCCAATAGCATAGTCTCCAATAGACTATGCTGTCAATTGTAACAGAAAAGAAAAAAAAATTAGACAGGAGCAAAAGCAATTAAAGTATTTCTTCAGCCAGGCGCGGTGGCTCATGCCTGTAATCCCAGCACTTTGGGGGGCCGAGGCGGGCAGATCACGAGGTCAGGAGATCGAGACCACGGTGAAACCCCGTCTCCACTAAAAATACAAAAAAAAAATTAGCTGGGCGTGGTGGGGGGGGCGCCTGTAGTCCCGGAGTCCCGGTGACTTGGGAGGCTGAGGCAGGAGAATGGCGTGAACCCGGGAGGCGGGGTTTGCAGTGAGCCAAGATCTCGTCACTGCACTCCAGCCTGGGCGACAGAGCAAGACTCCGTCTCAAAAAAAAATAAAAATAAAAATAAAAGTATTTCTTCTCCAATATTCGCATTTCTGCATGTGTCAGCAGCTGTGGAACTGTCACAAGATATGCCGATTTCGTTTTGGTATGTGCCTATCTGGGAAAGAGAGGAGGAGGGTGAAGGTAGACTGTAAACAGATCATTATTGTAAAGTGGTCAATGGGTAATAGAGGTGTGTATCGAGTGCATAGAGAAGGGACTCACTCATTTTAAGCAATGTTTTTCAAATGGGGTCACCTCCATTAGTGGGTCATGAAATCCTTTTACCAAGTGCCTAACAGCATTTGAAAAAATACAGTATAGAATGAAATACATCAAGATGCATCCTCCATAGTAAGTCCAGATATTTTTTTCCAAAACCTTTGTTTCAATTGTATATCTGCTGAATTACAACGTGAAATATATTTCTTGGGATTCAGTCTTAAGCAAAGATGTTTGAAAGCCACTGAGGTAGGTGATGGAAGAAGGCTTCCCAGAGGAGGTGGCATTGGAACTGGGCCTTGAAGAATGGTGGACTTGTGCCACAGGAAAAGGGAATTCTAGGCAGAGGGGAAAGGATATGTCCAAATCTGGATATGTTTGTTCAGGGGCAGGGTATCCTCTGTAAAGGGACCATAGGTTACTAGGAGAGGACTGACTCGAGATGTGCCTGGAGAGGCAGGTGGAGCCAATTACCGAGCCACTTGAAAGTATATATTCCACTTCTCAGCTTGCCTCAGAAATTCCCATTCTCTGGTTATGGATTTGGGTTTGGGAATCTGTACTTGTAATAAGCATCCCTGGACAGTGAGGTGCTGATGGAGGTGTGACACAACCAGCTCTAGAATCTAGAAAGATGATCTTTGTAGCAGTTTGGATAGGAGATCG